TAGACATTTGAATTTGAACTTTGAATGAAATCCAAGTATCCCCTTTGTTCTGACTCTTAAATCTCATCTTTTTATGAGTAAATTTCATTCTTGATAATGAGAAAAAAATGCCTTTTGTATTTCCAATGAAAAAGACTCAGAGAATTGCCTCACTTTAGAATACTTTCTTTATCCTTTTCCCCCAAATTGTTTTAATGACTTTGTTTTCATTTTTTGAATAATTTATAAATATTATACAAGTTTTTTTTCCAAATATTTATTTTTATGTATTCAACCTAGATATGTGACAACAGTAATATCATGGTGCAGAAGACTGACCCAGACTAGTCAGAGAGATGTGCCCACACATCCTTCATCTTCTTTCCTTGAAGAAAATTGGTATTTATATTTCTTTTAAATTTATTCTGTGTAGAACAGTTAATACTCAAAAATTAAAATGTCAAATGGTAAACTCTAACATGTTTTTCCCAAGAAAACCTTTTCTTAGTTAAATGTATTTAACTATAATGTTTATGATAGCTTAATATTAAAAATAATTTATCTTTAATCTGATATCTAATTTATTAAAATTCATATTATATTTCATCTGAAGTTCAGAAAACTGCATTGAAAGCTTCATGTCAAAATGGGTGACTCTTTCAATGTGAGAAATTCATCCTGAAAACTTTATGGAAAATTTTAAAGTTTTTTTTCTTAAACTTTAGTAATATTAAAGGAAATAAAATGTTGACTAACATAGTAAACTTTCAGAAAAAGTTGTTTTCTAAAATAATTTCTATCATATTAATGACCTCCCCAAAATTAATTGGCAAATCAACAAATAAAGTATTTTAGTCCCTCCTGTGTGCCTTTCAGTGTGCAGGGGACTACAACTGGGATTCAAAGGAATATTTAGGGAACTTACGACATTTTAGGGAGGAAGCAAGGACAGAGAGATAAAAAAGGATATTTTAGACTGTGGAGATAGTAGACGATAGTTTTTATGGAGCAGATGCTGTCTGTTAGCTATAGTGTGAGTTTTGATTGGATGCTGTAATCAATAAAGGAATTCAAACTTGATGGAATTACAAGTTCCTAAATAGACAAAAATGACCATAAGAAGGATCATTAGGAAGGTTAGTATCACTGAGAATATAATCTGAATATATTGGAAAAGAAGGATACCAGGAACAATTTAGGAAGCTTTAAAGTAAGTTGTAAGGTGTTTGAGCATAGCATGGTGAAAAAAATATAAACATTAAGCCTGATTCTTATCACCTTTTCTGAAGTTACTTAAAGAAAGAAGTACAAATCAAATTAGTAGATGTTATTTGAATATCTCAGTTCTTAAGGATTTAGCTTTCCAGATCCCTCATTCTTCAACTACAGACTTTGGGAGCAGAAACGTTGTCCAGGTAGCTAGCAGAAGACATAGTTGCAAAGAAAGGGAAATTGTACATAGCTATAAAATTAGTCACTTCATCATTGCTCAGCTGGTACAGTTTGTACAATACTTTTTTATATGAAAGCTTACAAGAGGATAACTGTCGAGACATACAAAAGAAATGAGGGAATAGAGAAGTGCAGATTGGTGATAGCAACTCAGGGTAGAAGCAATGAGGAACAGCAGAGAGACCAAGGAATTGAGGACGTGTAGGGAGAGAAGATATAGCCACTTGCCATAGTTCCATTTCCTTTTCAAAGCCTAAGACATCTCCAACTGTAAATTGTTTTCTTGTCAAAGAGGGTAGGTTGGAGAGAGACTGCACGATAAACAGCTACCTAAATTGTACTTCAGTATTTCTGTTTCCAACTCACCTATTATTAGCTTACGGATTTAACCTTTTAATGGGGATGCTAGTCAAAAAATAGTATAGAAGATCTTTTATAAGAAGTTGATTCATCATATGAGCAACAGCATTAAGGGTAGTTTGTATTGTTGCTTATAACCAGAAAAATGTGTCTTACATTAAAAAAAAAAAAAAGTATTTTGCAATGATGAAGAATCAGCAGGCTTTGGAGTAAGTCATATTCAAGTCTTTGCCACAGATGCTTAAAACGGTGAATGATCTCTTTCATTCTTCATCCATAGGCTGGAGTAATAGAGTGTAAGCTGAAAGGAAGGTGCATGTGGTCCATTTTGTAAAGCCAGTAAAGTAGACAAGTCACATACCCTATTATGAACTGTGAAGACTTTTCTAGTGACTTGAATAAAGAGATCTTTTAGACATTAATGTCCTCATTAATTTTTCAGAAAGCTAGATGAGTTACATTGCTTTCTAGTTGTGTGCCATTGCTCCTATTTTATTCTAGCTTGATGAGGAAAAAGAGAGAGAACACACATACAGCTCTCTACCCCATACTAGTTGTCCCAAAATCTGTTTCTGTGGAACATGGTAAGAGCCAATGTTAATGCTTCGAGTCAAGAAGACAATGTTTAGTATACAGACTGTGCTTAAGAAAACAGTGAAATGAGTAGGTAGTCTATTCCAGAAGGAATTCAATAGAAAACAGGTATGTTTTGCAACCTAGTTCAACTGTGTAAAAAGTTGGCCCTCCAAAACCATCCATTCCCTAAGAGTTCCATATCAATGAAGTCTTACTATGTGTGCAGAACACAGAATAAGAAAAGATTCATTCTTCTGAAAGAGACAATCTAGATATGAAGATCATAAAATAAAATAGTTCAAGAGAAGATAATTATAAATAAGTATATGATTAATTAAAATTATAGGAATTCAAGGAAGGAGAGGTCACTTCAAGGAAGATCACTTCTTTTACAAAAGTATGTTAGTAGAGGGCCAGCCGAGTGGCGCGGTGGTTAAGAGCTGGCTTGGAACAACAGAGAGCCCCAGTTCGAATCCCACATATGAGGGCCAGTGACACTGCCCTCTACAGCTAAGATGTTGAACAACAGCTCAACCTGGAGCTGGGCTGCCGTGAGTCGCCAGCGACGGCGTAGGCTGCAGCCACTGCTGCAGTGGGTTGCCATAGGCTACCGTGTGTAGCCAACAGCCGCAGTGAGCGACCATCCAGAAGCCGGCAACTGATCTGCCTCTCCTGGGAAGAGTGCAATGATGGTGCCAACTTGGGCCAGTGAAGCAACGTCCTCCATAACTAGACTGAAGAACAAAAGGACAGCAACTTGTCTGTTCCCCTTCCCCCAATTCCCCAGCGCTGTTCCCATCCAATTCCCCAATTAAAAAAAAAAAAAAAAGTATGTTAGTAGATTTTTTAAATTTAAGTAAAGTTCAAGGAGGAAAATAGAGGGTATGCCAGGTTAGTACAAAGAGGTTGTAGCAGGAAAGCCATTACCTTCAAACATAAATACTTGATTAAAAAGCCTTCAGGTGGGGACTTTTATTCACTTAGCTTACTTATTAAAAGCACTCAATAAGTATCAGTTGAGTAAAGTTGATTTGTTGATAAATAAAGCCAATATAAACGGAACTCTTAACTTTTACATTCTTCTAAAATTCTAACCTTTATGAAAAAAAAAATCAAGTGTGCTTATTTGAAATATTGTGGATAAAAAAGAATCAGATAACTAGCATGAATTTGCTTTTATTTTCCCCACAGGTGTGTGGCTTCTGAACTTGAAAAGATACAGAAGTTTAACTGTATCCTTTAAACACAATGTATTGTCCTGCATAATTACTCCCTTTCCATTCTAGGCTTAATTCATTACTGTAGTTTATATTAATCAGACATATATTGTGGAGTTCACTGAATAATATTTGAGATATTCAGGATGTATCTTTTCTGTAAAAGGTACATCATGTTGAGGATTTTTACATCTATGTTCATCAGGGATATGAGCCTATAATTTTTTCTTGTAGTATCTTTGTCTGTTTGTGGTTGTCAGGATAATGTTGGCCTCATAAAATGGTTTGAAAGTGTTCCCTCCGCTTCTATTTTTTGGACGAGTTTGAGAAGGATTGGTTGGTATTAATTCTTCTTTAAATGTTTGGTAGAATTCACCAGTGATACCATCTGGTCCTAGGCTCTTGTTTGTGGTTTTTGATTACTGATTCAATCTCCTTACTAGTATTCAGTCTGTTCAGACTTTGTTTCTTCATGATTCAGTCTTGGTAACTTGTATGTTTTTAGGAATTTATCCGTTTCTTCTAGGTTGTCCAATTTGTTGGTGTATAATTGTTCATCATAGTCTCTTATGATCCTTTGTATTGTGTGATATCAATTGTGGTATCGCCTTTTTCACTTCCAATTTTATCTGAGTCCTCTCTCTTTCTCTTGGTAAATGCTCTTTCTCTAGCTAAAGGTTTGCTGAGATATTTTTATTCTTTCATTTCCTATCACCAAACCTCCATCCAAACACATAGCCTTGCCCTTTCCTTTCCCCTTTCTTGTACTCTAGTTTCTTCATCTATAAGGGATAGACTTGAGTTCTAAAGTCCCAACTCTATGATGTATCGAAGAGGTCTCCCTCCCAATGGAGAAATCATATTTTAATATGAAAGCCAGGCTTTCTGAAATAAAAAATACTTATATAATGAAAAATGTGGACAAAAGCTCCTTAACTAAGCAACTCAGTGTTATTGGAGAATAGTGGTATCCTAAATCAGATTCCTAACAAGAAAAATGAACAGTCTTCTGATAATTACAAACCAAAATATTCAGAAATGTTGCTAGAAGTTAATGAAAACAGAGTATCAGTGGCACTGAAAAAAACCTCTGAAATTCTTCAGGATATTGATTGTCTTCTATCAAACTCTAAAAAGTAAAAAATGGAATTATTGCAATATATTATTAAACCTTAAGGATGTTGTTTCAAGTGCCAAGGAATGGTATATATGACTTTTGTACAGTGATTATATGAGAAGTGACTTTTAATTTTGGAGGTATTTTATCTAACCTATAAATTAAAAAATATGTATTTATAATATACTTTATTAATAAATAACTTTTGACATTTTGAAAAATTTCTTAGTTGAGATTTATGAGAAAAAATTTTATAAAATTATAGAGTTGTTGCTATTTTATAGAACATTCACTATTAATCTTCATGGGTTTTTTTGTTTTTCAATATGCAATATTGTGTGCTTTTGGTCATTTGCTATTTAGTCTCTGTACTCGAAGTATTTTTCAATAGAACTATGAAAAGAGAATTAGATCTTAAAAAAAAAGAATGTAGGTAATATTGCTTCAAACTAAGAAGCACTCCAGCAATGACTAAATTTTATCTGAACTGTCTTGTGAACCAGATATGTTCATTTCTTTTGAACATCTAAAAAGATCTATGCTACAAAGTGTGTGAAACTAAAAGAGAAATGAGCTCACCAAAAGTGCTATTACAGCTTGTCTATTGGGAAAGAACAAAACCATATATCTAAAAAGACTTCAAATTATACCAAATATAACCAGAAATGTTCTAATTAACTTCTGATTTCTAGAAAAGACCAGCCTCTTCACCTAAAAGGGAAGAAGCAACAGAGGAAACAAGGAGAAAAACCGAGACCAAAGCAAGCAGAGCATAGATTAGGATTGATGATGTCAGCTATTTCAGTGGGCACAGTGCTCTCTTTAGCTTCTTTCATGCTGGGCCCCTTGCCACCTTCAGGTGTCAGAACAAGTATCACTTCTTCAGAGGGCCCTCCCTCTAAAGTTGGTCTCCCCTAGTTATTCTCTACATCACCCTATTTATTTCCTTTACAGCACCTACTTCAGTCATCCAACTTCTTTGTGGTCTCTATCCCCCACTAGAACTTGCACGCCATGAAGTTATTCCATAACCAAGCACAACGCCTGCCATATTGAGAGCACTCAGTATGTGCTGTATAAATGAATCAGTGCCTTTGGGCAGTAGATGGACTACAGACAAACTGTAGGTTCTGTTTTGGTAGCAGGAAGCCATCTATGTCATACGTTGTCCCTCAATAGCTCTAGAAAACCTAGACTGTAATTAGAGATGTACCATGCTGCCGTGAGGGTAATGCCAAATTGTTACTGCATTCAGACAGAAAAAAAACCTGTCCTTACCATAACTAAAAACACTCACTATTGTGGTTAATGTATTTGGTGATATTTTTAATTAGCTTTTATGCTGTGTGGATAAAATGTGTAACCCCACCCCCCCACACCCCCGTAAGTCTTTTCCATTGGCTAAGAACCAAGAGTGTGACAAGCAATGCGAAGTTCTCTAACGGAGATACTGAGCCACACTTGAAGGTTCTGTGAGAGGCCTGTGAGTTTGCCTGAGGCTGAAGATTCCAGTGTTCTATGGTCTCTTTCAACTGTGTAAGTATAATCCTGCTGCTGCCCTTGCTTTCCATCTGACACTTGTTTTGAGAGGCAGAAAGGAGACAGGAGTGTTGCTCTTTGAGCCTCCTCTTTTGGGCCAGTACTTCCAAGAACAAATGTCGAGCTAGATGTCGAGTAGTGGGGGTGATAAAAGAGCACCCACTACTCGGAGGGTGACAGGAATGGGAACTGCCCAGTCCCGGTAAACAAGCTGCATCTTGTCAGTCCCGTTCATCACGCTACCCTCTAGGCAGTCGCTTTTTCGACTCTTCAGCATTTAGGAGTCACGGTAAACTGCTCTAGCCATATCACCGCGGTCCACGAGAAAGCGGCCCACAATGCACACCCGCATAGCGACAAAGAATAATTATCAAGAAATCCCCCAGGGGGCGGTGAAGCGCTGAGGAGCGTCAGGTCTGCAAGGTCGTGCGGTCTGTCTCGTGACAAACTCTGACGCCCAACCAGAAGGGTCCTGCGAAAGAGGTCGGAAACGGCTCTACACCTTTGGGACCCACGATGGCCTGTAGCTCCTAGCTCAAGCGTATGGGCATAAGGCCTGTGCATCTGACATTCGGTGAGGTTCATTCTGCGTCCCCAGCTCCCCCGCCGCCACTTGGGTGCGACGTGGGTATGTCGGCGGCCACATCTGTGGCCCGGCGCAGGCTAAACCCAGAACGAATTTTCGGGTTGACAGAAGTAAACTAACAAGACACTTTTCACTTCTCACTCTGTCGTCCCAAAGGTCTCCCTTTTGGGGCAGGACGGAGAAGAACTCTTAAGAACCTGCACACGCTGCACGAAAGAGCATTCAAATACCGCTTCCGGTCGCCTGAGCGGAGCCAGTATCCCGTCGTCCTCTCGCCCGGCGTTGCGCGCTGCAGCCGCTCTGGCCAGCGGCCCGCATCTCTATGGTACGGACGGATGGGAGGTGGGAGGGATGGCGGCGCGTTGGCTCCCTGAGCTTCAGCAGAAAGCGGAGGGTGGGTGGAGCTGAGCTGCAGCGAGAGACTGGGTGGGAGGGGGACGGAATGGACGCCTTGATACTGCGTCCTGAGGTGGGAGGCCGGAGGCAGGCACCAACCTGAGCCCGAAGTCTGGAAGATCCGGGTTCCAGACGGGGCGGACGTGCAGGGGCGGCAGGCGCGCGGGTCCCGAGAGCGCGCGGCGTGTGCTTGACCCTTGAGCGGCCACTGTCGCGTGGCCCCCCAAGCTGCGCAAAGCCCCGGCACCGCCCTCCGGCTTCATCGCGCCGTCTAGATCCCGTAGGCTCCCAGCCCACGCCTAGGCTCTGCGTCTTTGGCGTTTTCCTGGCCCATAACGGAGTGCCGGGGGTCTTGATAGAATTGCCCATTGCCATCGTTACCTGGCATCAGAGAGAACCCTTATGCGTCCTGGATCCTGGGAGGCGTGAATGCGATGAGTGACATGGTCCCTTCCCTGCAGACGCCACGGCTTCCTACCTTTTCTTGACATTTTAAAAATTACTGCATCATACCAATCAGATGAAAGAATGACTTTGGGAATCGAATCGGCTGAGACTTGAGACATGTTGAAATTCAGAATTGTATGTTTTATTCGTAATGGTCATGAGAACTGAACATTATATATTCCGGCTATAAAAAGTTTCCGTGAAAGGGAGCGAGATCTGTTTCCTTTCTTTGCAAATTAGCTACGTTCGTTTGGCATCTGCTTTGGGTATTGTAGCATTAAAGAAATTAGATACAAGTTTCGTAGCAATTACAGTTCAATGACGAGGACATTTATAAAACAGACAAATTTCAGATTTTAGACCGTGCTTTTGCTTCAGGTTTTTGTAAATATTTGTGATGAGGGGGAGAGGGGGAGGAAGAGGGTGAAGTAGATGATATTTACAATGGGGATTTGTTAGCTCTGATTTGTTTGGGCAGAAATAATGTCTAAGGTTAACGAACAATGCATAATAATGTATAATTAAAGTAACTGACTAATTATGTGTTTGTGGAATTGAGGAAAGGGAAGATTATTGCTGTGTGTACGTTGGAGGCCCCATAGTTCATGGCATTTTACTGGAAATGAGATGTGGCAGAATTTTGCCGTTCAGCAAAGTGGCTCCTGCAAGTCATAGAAATTTATGATCTGGGTCCTTGGCTGCTATGGTAGAGAAGTCATTCCAAAGTAATAGCTTTAGCTCATAGGCGGAGGATTGCTTACCTGCTTACCCCTATTATGAATATAATGAAATATTTATTAAACATTTGAGTACAGGTTTAAAAGAAAATTATAATTACTAACTTAAGGAACCTGCCCTCAAAAAGTGAATATGTAAAATAAACATAAAGCTCTTTTATAGTTTCGGAGGTTCCTGAGTCCATTCTATTTGTAGGGAGAGGAACAGGAAGTGGAAAAGGGAAGAAAAGGGTAAGAAGAAAAATGGGTACACTTATGTGTCCTAGTCAGAAACAGTAAATAAGAAGTATACTTATGAAATTTGTCTATCTCATACTCAGAATCTAATCTAAATATTTGCACCAGTAGTTGTAGTGGAATAGATGTCAGAATTGTGTTTCTGGGACCATAATTATAACTTTCTTAAAAAATAGAAACTACTATTTTGGTTATCTATTGCTGCATAACAAATTACCCCAAAACTTAGGAGCTCAAAACAGTATGTTTCCTTTTGTTGCAATCTGTCTCTATAGAGAAATTTAATACAGTCACATTTAATGTGGTATTTGCTTTTGATGTTTGATTCCTATTGCTTTTTGGGGAGGAGGGTCAAGTTTTCTTCTATGCTTTTTTTTTCTTTTCCATTTTGCTGTATTGATCAGTTTTCTTTATTCCTCTCCACATCTCCCTAGAGATTTAGAATTCCTGCTCCTCAATTCTTTCTCCCCCAGAAATCGTACATAAGTATTTAATTTCTGAGGCAAAACTCCTAAAATTCACGATTATCACACAGGTCCTACAGTTTAGTTATGTTTAGAGTCCTACAGTCATGATCCTTTTCTCTCAGAGCTCTGTACGCCACAATATTTTGGTATTTAGTGTTGATGTTAATCACATTCTCTTTATTTTATGATAATTTACTTGAATATTCTTCAAGATTTTTCTTTATTTTTTGAATTATTTTTTTCTTTCAGTGTCCAACTCCTTGTTCTTTTTTCCCTCATCAAGCTTTGGGGAAATTCTTTGAAAATGTTCATATTCACTTAATTGTGACTTTCGAAGCATTCATTTTACTATGCATTGCTTCTGTTAACCTTGTATTTGGGCAATCCGGCTTTTCATCTCCATAATCTCTTTCTTGTTTTCAGATTGCTCCTTTTACATGAAAGTCTGCTGTTGTTGACAATAAAGTATATATTTTTTAACTTTTTGATATCTTTGTTGGAGTATAATTGACATGTAATCAACTGTACATATTTAAATTTTACAATTTGACACATTTTGATGTATGTATGAAACTGTCACTACAATCAAGATAATGAACTTATCGGGCCCCCAAAGTGTCCTTATGCTCCTTTTTTATCTGTCCTGCCCCTCTTGTCCCCAGGCAACACTGATCTGCATTCTGTCACTTAGAATAGTTTGCATTTTCTAGAATATTTTATAAATTAAATCATACTATGTGCTCTTTTGAAAACATACAGAAAGGTAGAGGATATGTATAATGAACTACAGTATATCCATTACCTAAATTGAACAATTATAACATTTTCCCATAATTGCTTCATTTACTTTTTTTAATTAATAGACTATTTTTTATAGTTTCATGTTTATAGAAAAGTGGAGCAGATAGTAGAGTGTTCTCATATACAGTTAACCCATGAACATGTTGGGTCAGGGGTGCCGACACCCTGCAGAGTCAAGAATTCACATATAACTTTTGACTCCCCAAAAACTTAACTGCTAATAGCCTCCCGTTGGCCAGAACCCTTACCAATAACATAAAAAAATCGATTAACATATTTTGTATATATGCTATATGCATTATATACTGTATTCTTACAATAAATTAAGCTATAGAAAAAAATGTTATTAAGAAAATCATAAGGAAAATACATTTATAATAATTTCTGAAAAATATTCACATATGAGTGGACCTGCGCAGTTCAAACCTGTGTTCATTTGTCAACTGTATTTCTTCTCCCTCTGCACACATTTCTCCATTACTAACATTTTTCATTAGTGTGATAGGTACATTTGTTGCAATTAATGAACCAATATCGATACATTGTTATTGACTAATGTCTACAATTTAAGGTTCATTTTTTTTGTGTTGTACAATTCTATGGGTTTTGACTACTTTTTTTTGTAGGGGGTGTCTGCTTTTTAGTATGATTTTGAAGTTCATCTATGTTTTTGTATATATCACTTTTTTCTTTTTCTTTTTTATTGCACATTTTGTTTTCGTGTGTATCATTAATTTTTCTTTTTAGTATTTTTTATTCCACGTTTTATTTATTCAGTTGGGTTGTTTCCAGTTTGGAGCTAATATATTGGGTTGTTGGAAAAGTCATGACATTTTTTCTTTATGTTTTTCATTGCAAAAAAGTGTCATGACTTTTCTGAAAACCCAATAGATAAAAACTGCTGTGGATGTTTATGTACAAGTCTTTGTGCAGATGTAGGCTTTCATTTCTCTGAGGTAAATACCTAAGAGTGGAATGACTGAGTCATATGGTAGGAGTATGTTTAACTTTTTGAGAAACTGGATAGCGGTTGTGCCATTTTACATTTCCACCAGCAGTATGAGAGTTCTGGTTGCTCCACGTCTTGTCAACATTTGGGATGGTCAGTCTTTACTTTTAGCCATTCTAATAGGTATGTTTGGTATTTCATTGTGGTTTTAATTTACATTTCCATAGAAATTAATGATGTTGAACATATTGTATTTCATGTGCTTACTAGCCATCTGTATGTTACCTCTGTAAAGTACCTTTTCTTTTCAAGTGCCCATTTTTGTATTGTTTTGTTTGTTTTTCTGTTATTGTGTTTTGAGGATTTTTTGTTCTGGACACAAACCCTTTATCAAATATGAGATATGCAAATATTTTTTCCCAGTCTGTGGCTTGTCTTTTCATTCTTTTAACATTGTATTTCAAAGAGCAGAAGTTCTTAATTTTGGCGAAGTTCAGTTTATCAATTTTTAAAACAGATCAAGCTTTTGATGTTGCATCGAACTCTTTGCATAACCCAAGGACTCACAGATATTTTCCTATGTTTTCTTCCAGAAGTTTTATAGTTTTGTGTTACTTTTAGGTCTCTGATCTATTTTGAGTTAATTTTTGTTTATGGAATAAAGTACGGATTGAGGTTCATTAGTTTTTCACTATGGACATCCAGTTGTTCCAGCACCATTTGTTGAAAGGAATATCTTTTCTTTATTGACTTGCCTTTGTATGTTTGTCAGAAATGACCGTGTACGTGTTGATCTATTTTTGATCCCACTCTCTAGTTTGTTCCATTGATCTATTTGTGTATCTTTATACCAATAGCCACACTGTCTTGATTATTGTTAGCTTTATAAGAGTTGAAATCAGATAACATAGTCCTTCAAATTAATTCCTTTTTTCCAAAGTTGTTTTCCTATTCTAGGTCTTTTGCATTTCCCTATAAATTTTAGAATATATATAATGAGCTATGTATAGTTTTTATTACAAAATGGAAGTTTAGTCATGATCAATAAATCATGAAGTTATTCTTTAATCTCAGAATAAAAACAAAATAATACAAACCAAAAACTTCGTGCATCACACAATATTGATAACTTTAATTGGATAAATGATTTCAATATTCTATGCCAGGTAAGCACTCAGCATAGCATTATGATGCTTTTTTTATATCAGTTAAGGTTCTTTGGTTAGAGGCAGCAGAAAGGAAAAGGGGATTTATTGAAAAAATGCTGGGGTGGCTCAGAGAAGTGAAGGGCAGCTCTGAGAACCTTAGCATTGGACCTGAGAATTTGATTCTTTTTTCATAGGCTGTTCTATGTAGTGGAGCCCATGGTCTACAAGAAAAGAAAAGGAACTTTCCCTCACCAGCTCGATTTAGGAAAACTCTGGAAAGGAGTCTGATTGGCCCAATCTGGGTCACCTTCATCACTAGATTAATCACAACTAATCTAATCACTACTGGAAAATGATTACTAATTAGTAATTACTAATTAATCACTACTACTAATAAGGGAGACAGGAAATTGTAATTGGTCAGCTCTGGAGTTAGGGTATTGTGATGAGCAGTTTTTCCAAAGGAAGGGGATGCTGTTATCAGAAGTGTGGAAAGTAGTTGCTGGGTACATAGACACAATGGATGCCCTCTACCATGTAGACACAATGGATGCCCACTACCATGTAGACACAATGGATGCCCACTACCATGTCGTAAACATTGCTGAGCGATAGAACTGTTTGATGACCTCAAAGTAATAGATGACAGTTAGTGGGCTTTCTTAAATGTCCCTTGATGCATATTACCATGTGAGTTGTTTTCCTTACAAAGCTACACTCTTGGGCCACATGGCATATTATGTATAATGTGTAAGAAATACCTTTTTTTTATACTTGAAAGTTGTTAAGAGAATAGATCTTAAAGTTCTCACCACACACAAGAAAAGGTGACTATGTGAGATGCTGAATGTGTTAACTAACATTATGGTACTTATTTTACAATATATATGTATATCAAATCATATTGTATACTTTAAGCTTACATAGTGATATATATCAATTATATCTCAATAAAGCTAGGAAAAGTAAACTTACAATAGTTAAAAAAAATACCACTTTTTACAACTCGGTTTTATATTTGTGAAATTATTGCTGATAATATTTTGTGTAAGTAGTATATGGCAGCCCATAATCTTCATGAATATTTTTCTCTGCTTTCTATTTTAGGGTAACCGGGAATGTAAACAAGGATAAGCTGTTTCCTGATGGCTTTTAGTACATACTGACATATTGTTTGTGATGGCATCCGAGACTGAGAAGACCCATGCTTTACTCCAGTCTTGTAGCACTGAATCTCTTATTTCTAGCATTGGTCTGGGGATATTTTGCCTAATGGCTGACAGACTACTACTACAGATTTCCATAATTCAGCAAAATGACTGGCTTCGTGCTCTCTCAGATAATGCAGTGCATGGTGTGATTGGCATGTGGTCGTGGGCAATAGTCATTGGAATTAAGAAGAAGACTGACTTAAGAGAAATCATTTTAGCTGGATTTTTAGCCTCTGTTATCGACGTAGACCACTTTTTACTAGCTGGATCCCTATCGTTAAAGGTAAGAAGCACATAGGTTGAATTTTTCTGGTCTTTAATTTCGTTAGCACCACTGTATTGATCTTCAGAGCATCATTTTAGTTAGTGCTGGAGAGGATTAGCCTTATTTTAAAATAAGGAAGCCCATTCATCAAACTTTTTTGAGTACTTAGTACTTACCTGAAGGTGCCCACAGTCACGTTGCTGATGATGTTATCTGGCATCACAAACTGCCATGGATGTACCCAGAGCAAGGACTCATGAACTGTACCTGAGGAGTTCCGGGCTGGCTTTACAGAGGATGTGTTTAGCCAGCTCTTGAAGGAAGGATCAGCCAACTGGTTTAAAGTAATGGGTATCATTCTCAGGACCATCCTAGTTCTTTTTGTATCAGTGGTCTTTCTTCAGGACCACACTTAAAATTTCCCCCACATTCCTCATGTTTTATGGTTAGTATGCGGCTCCTAAGTGCTCCATAACAGTTGAATTGCTTTAAGATGATCCCCAGTCTTGGGAAAGGACTTTCAATGATTCATTCCCTGAGTCCCTCTTGGAGTCAGAAGTGTGCATATCAATGGACTGATTAGAACACAGTCTTTGAAGGAGAAATTGAGGCATTTCATTGAGGCATCAGAGGTTTAGCTATACAGAGACCTACTAGCCTTGCAAGTGAACTAAGCTTAAAATGACAATTCAGAGAATATTTTCTAAGTGGCAACAAATTTGCCTGCCTTTTACCTGTTTATGATCTGTACACATTTCAAGGGAAGAAATACAGATTCACAGAGCAAGGGCTTTGCTTTGTTTCCCACTGGCCTAGAACAATGCCTGGCTCACCTAGTAGATGTGCAGTAAATATTTGTTGGAAAAATGAGAAATGATTGCTACTTCTTCCTATTATGTGTCAGGTACTGTACAAGGTATTTCTCAGAGGTTGTCTTACTTATTTAGAAACTTAACAGACATAGTATCAGCAATTCCTGATTAAAGTCAAATTTTAACTTTTTTGCTATAAATGGAGGCAGCATCACATTGCTGTTTAAGATTGGAATCAGAAAACCAGAGTTTGAATCCTACCATGCAGTGCTAGCCGACTGCTTTTCTTCTTCTTTCTTTTTTTTTTTAGCTGAGCCATCCTGCTACCTGTTGGCAGCTCAGCGGCTGCCCAGCTCGGGCTGGACTCGAACTGCTGTTGCTCAGAGCTCAAACTCTTGAGCGAGCTCTTAACCAACTGAGCCACTCGACCGGCCCTCTGCTTTTCTTCTTCAAGTTTCCATTTCCTCATTTGTAAAATGTGGATTACAACATGACTTACTTATATCATAGGGTTGTTGTGAGGATTAAATGAGCATATTAAGTGATACACCCTGGCAAATAGCAAGAAATATTAGTAAAGAGTGGGATAATCTATAAAGCAAAAAGTTGTGGTTCATAAATGCATTCATCTAGAATTTATCCTGTTGCAATTTTTCAAAACATTTGGGCTGTGAACGGTATTTATTCTTTGAATCATTGAGAAGCAGTAGTGTTAAGAATAGGAGCCACCAATTCAGACAGACTCCACATCAAATCCCAGCTCTGCCACTTAGTAACTGCACAACATGGCGAAATTACTTAGCATTCTTAGTCTGTTTCCTTCTCTCTACAAAATCCCTAACTCATAGGATTGCTATAAGAATTAAATGAGATTGTGCACATGAAGTATAGGATAGTGTTGATACTGAGCCTTATTTTTGTTATTTTTTTAAAGATTTTTATTGAAATATAGCTAACATACAATATTATATTAGTTTCACATGTACACCATAGTTATTCAACAGTACCCACCTAGGACTATATAGAGTTATTACCATATTATTGATTATATTCCCTATGCTAAAGAAGTAATCACCATGGTAAGTCCAGCAACTATATGACACTGTACCATGCTATCACAATATTATTGATCTTTCCCCCCTTTTTAAATTTTTCAATTAGAGTTGACATTCAGTATTATTTTATATTAGTTTCAAGTTTATAACATAGTGGTTATACATTTATATAATTTAGGAAGTGATACCCCTGACTAGTAAGTACCACCTGACACTGTACATAGTTCTTACCATTTTATTGATTATATTCCCTATGCTTTACCTCCCCATGACTATTTTGTAACTACCAATTTGTATCTCTTAATCCCTTCACCTTTTTCACCCTGCCCCCAACCTCCTCCCATCTATCACCCCGATAAATCTAGTACCCACCTGACACCATAAGTTGTTACAATATTATTGACTATATTCCTTAGGCTATACGCTACATCCCCATGACTACTGTGTAACAACCAATTTGTACTTCTTAATCCCTTCCGCTTTTCACCCATCTCCAACCCTCCTCCCATCTGGCAACCATCAAAATGTTCTCCATATCTATTTGTTTCTGTTTCTTTTGTTTGTTTATTTTGTTATTTAGATTCCACTTATAAGTGAAATCATATGACACTTGTCTTCTGCTGTCTGACTTAACTACATTCAGCACTGTACCCTCTAGGTCCGTCCGTGTTGTCACAGATGGCAGGATTTTATTCTTTTTTTTTTGCTGATAATATTCCATTGTATATATATACCACCTCTTCTTTATCCTTTCATTCATTCAGGGACACCCAGATTGCCTCCACACCTTGGCCATTTGTAAACAATGCTGCAATGAACATATGGATGAGCATATCCCCTTGAAGTAGCATTTTGGGTTTCTTTGGATAAATACCCAGAAGTGGGATTACTAGGTCCTTCTTTGTCTCTTGTTATAGTCTTTGGTTTTTTTTCAAAGATTTTATTGGGGAATCGGGGAAGGGGAACAGACAAGTTGCTGTCCTTTTGTTCTTCAGTCTAGTTGTGGAGGACGTTGTTTCTCTGGCCCATGTTGGTATTATCATTGCGCTTTTCCCGGGTGAGGCAGATTGGTCGCCGACCTCTGGACAGCTACTCACGGCGGCTCTTGGCAGCTCACACTGGCTGCCAGCCGTTCATGCTGGCTGCTAGCTACGTATCGTAGCCCATGGCAGCCCACTGCAGCAAGGGCTGCAGCCTACGCCGTCACCAGCGACTCACGGCAGCCCACCTGCAGGTCGAGCTGTTGTTCACTTGTCTTAGTTGTAGAGGGCAGTGTCACTCGCCCCCATGTGGGATCTGAACCGGAGCCCTGCTGCTCAGAGCTGGCGTCCCAAGCCAGCTCTTAACCAATGTGCCACTCAGCCAGCCCTATAGTCTGTTTTAAGTGATCCTTATTTTTGAATGAACTTTTAAAATTTTTTCACATTCTCATACTCATGGATCATTCAAGGTTTAAGCCTAAAATTTTCATGTTTAGATATTGATTACATTTTTTTGCAGTGGTTTAGAAACTTAAGTTTATTTAACTAAACTTTAGAATACTTACTTTAAACAATATAACCTTTCTAAATATTATTGTAAATAAATCCTGAAAGTATTCAAGGCTAATATAAAGTGGTTACAACAAAAATATTCCCCTCCTGTGCCTTTATTAATTGAAGAATATTTTATTTGGTTGTGAGATTTTCTTCAACACTGTTGGGGGCCCCAAACAATTCTTTAAAACTCCAAATTTACACAAACCATGCATTTAGGATATGAATTAAATTCATATTGTGACTTTTCTAAGTAAATAATAGGAAACTTAAAAAACTTAATCACCATGTTCTTGAGATCTTGATTTCATTTGCAAAAGATATCCTTTTTTATCTTCCTTGCCTATATATAATAGATATAATGCATGTATTTGGAGGTGGCATAGAAAATGATTCCCTTGCATTTCCAATAGGCTCCTGGAAAATATTTTAGAATAGTAAGAAGCATCTATAAAATTTTGTTTGCCAAAAAGGAAATGATATAGCTATTGCTTTCCGCTCCCCACAGGCTGCTTTGACTCTTCCGCGAAGACCATTTCTTCATTGTTCTACCGTGATACCTGTTGTGGTCCTGACCCTGAAGTTTACTATGCACCTTTTCAAGCTCAAAGACTCATGGTGCTTTCTTCCCTGGATGTTACTTATATCCTGGACCTCACACCACATCCGAGATGGCATTCGTCACGGCTTGTGGATATGCCCGTTTGGAAAAACTTCTCCTTTGCCATTCTGGCTTTATGTCATAATCACATCATCTTTACCTCACATCTGTTCATTGGTTATGTATTTAACAGGGACCAGACAAATGATGTCTTCAAAACATGGAATTTATATTGATGTCTGAAGTAACCATATGGCTGTCTTAGAGAATCCAATGATTCAGACAATGATAATTAAGAGTAGCCAACATTAAAGTGAACTTTAAAAAAACATATTAGGTACTTATATTAATTATTATAATTCCTGAATCCTCTTGCTCAGGAGGCATGTACAAATTTTTTTTAATTATATATTTGTTGTACTTAATTCTACTTCTCTCTTCTATAACACTCTAGTGCAATATTGTAGTTTCATTTAGTTAATGATGTGTTTTTTATTGTTTCTTCTGTTTATCTGGCTTTACTAATAGCTCTATCAGAGTAACATCCAATTAAGTTTGGAAATATAGCTTTAATATAATCCATTTCCAGATGAAAAAAAGTTCAAATTTTAGGGTGGCTGATTTGTGGAAAGTTAGCACTATATTTGGGTCCACATTTTCCTGAGATAGTGACACAATAAAATGGCCAAAATAAATGAGATCATGAATAAGATATACAGAGAATGCTAACATTTGTTTTGTCATATATGTTGACCCTGACTGAAATTTAATTTGCCAAGTGCTTTAGTGAGTTGTAATTACTGGCAGAATCTGCTTCAGTACACTTGTGAAAAATCATTATAATATTCATAGAAGATAGTAACTAACATTAGATCTAGGTTATTGTTCCAGAAATCACTTTAGGAAATTATTGTAATATGTTGGCAATAGTAACATCTTCCTGAAGTATTAGTTTTTCAGTATCTTTGCCCAAAAATCTCATGTATTAGGGTTTTAACTGTTTTGGAAAATATAACTAAATTTAACACAATATTTATTGAAAATTAACTAACAAAATATTGCTACTTGGCTTATAACCATAGAATTTTAATTGACACAAAAAAAGACTTCCCAGTAATGTCATTTCGAATGTAAACTCCTGAATGTGCCCTTAAAATGGTTTTAGTTGCTGTCGATTTGTTTACATACTCCTAAAATATTATACCAGTTAAATCATTTTGTAAAAACCTGCCTGATACTGACAGACAAAAAAATTTTTTTTCAGTGTAAAGTACTTTTAGAAAATTTGATTTTTGCTTTTTTTCAGGTTGATCTTCTGTTGAAAATGATTAGCCTTTATTAGAGAAGGAAATTTAGTTGCTGTAAATTTTACATTTGCACAGTTTAATGTTACTTTGATATAAAAGTCAGTGCCCCAAAGTCACCTGCTATTGTTTGTAGCATATGTGTCATCTGCTGTCTTCATATTTTCTTACACATTTGTTATTTGTAATGTTAGTGATTGTGTGCCTTATTCTCTGAGAAATGATGCAGCAATGCCTTTATCCAAAGCAGAATTTTCTTACTTATTAAGTGAAACAGAGTTCTGTAAATTGTTCTAAAGGTTCAAGCTTTTTAGTTTTTCATTTTGTTTTTAATCAGTTGGTTTCAGTCTATTAGGTTTTATAATCTGTTATCTTTTGAGAGCAATTATTGTGTCAGTTTGGTGGGTTTAATAGTAAATATTATATAGTGGGAGTAAATTTGATTAAAGTAGAGATTTTTTAAAAAGCATATGAAATCAGAAATCCGTGGAAATAAAGCATATATCTTAAGTAACTTTTTCTGACTAAATTATAAAATTCTACTTTTTTCTTTCTCCATATATCATTAAAACATAGGGCCTTCAATAAGAATGTGACATTGGGATTTGGGGCTTGTCCTAACTTTTTTTATTAGAATGGGAGTTCACTTTGACCATGAATCTTTGCTTAAACAACTGCAATCATTTATTTATTTATTTAGCTGTCTATTTATTTATTTATTTATTTACTTACTTATAAGAAAGCAAAAGCAATGTATTGGAAATGAAAGTACACACTTGAGAAGAAAGTGCAGGCGAACTCCGAACCAGTTGCAACAACTGCAGATTTTAAGTGTGGGTTTATCTTTGTTCCTACCTCTACCATCAGAAATGTTCCTTGTCTTCTAAGTGTGGTTGTAGCCTCTAGAAATATAACTACCAACTTCCCATGCAACCATTTTGTTCCTTTTCTTTGGGTTTGTGTCAATACATTATTTCAAAAGTTGGACAGTATCTTGTTTGCATGTGTATGTTTTCTCCGTCCTCTAGATGTCCTCCATTTACTTAGTCTTTCTATCTTGACTGTTTTGCTGATCTGGCCTCCCAATCTACTGTTTTCTTGAGCCATGTTAGTTATGCTGGCTACTCAGGAGAACTTCCACCACTGAACTATTTTCTACTCATCCCCAAGCCTAGATTTCTTTAGGGGTGGGCTAAGAACTCCTGTTGCATATGGGTTAAAATCTCATAATACTCCAAATCCTCACCCTCACATGCTACCCTCTAAGACTCGCTTTTACCTTCTTTGATGATATGAGCACCTGGATCCCTTTTTATTTTTTATTTGAACGCTTGGTTTTATCCTTAAGTCATCAGATGACCTGCCTGAAATCTGGACTTCAATATTCCCCTCTTCTACACTACTGACTCATCGCCTCATCACATCGGCCATTCACCAGTATAACAGGCCTCTGTACCTCACTTTTAGGTGACACTGCTCATCTCTGAGATTTCAAACTTAGTTTCCTTTTTCTAGACCAGTGGTTCTGAAACTCTTCCATATGTCAGTCACGTGTAAGGCTTGTTAGAGACCCACCCCCAGAGTCCTGACTTGGTAGGTCCCGAGAATGTGTTTCCAACAAGTTCCCAATTGCTATCGCTGCTGCTGTTCAGGAATCATACTTTAAGAACCACTGCTCTAGACCCATCCTGCACTTTAACTTCGTCTCTCTCCCCTCCCCTCTCTTCATTGAGCCAACTTTTTGCCTTCCTATAGCTTAAAACCGACAAGGCTTTTATGACTTAACCTTGGACGAAAGAGGCACCCCCAAATTGGCTGCAAAAGATATAGCCCTCCCAAGATCCAGAGCCACCCCAAAGACAGCATAAGGAAGCAAACACCTCCATTATCACAGGTTCTCATGAAACTGACCTCCCACAGAAGTGAGACACCATTAGCCACAGATCCATTAATCTGTGTTACTGGAAAGGCAATATTAGGATGGGAATTCTCCCAGCACAAACTAGCCAATGAGGGGAAAGATGACAGGTCTCTTATAGACTGGGACCCCTGATTAATGCAAACTCCCCTGAGAGCTGGTACATCCAGACAAAGAGAATGCTGCTTGTCACTTTGTGTGTCAGGCTCCTAGCCAGCTGGCTAGCCACCTGACTCAAGCTCAACAACCTTGCCCCACAGCTGGAGGAAACTTGAAAATATTCTCACTGGTTACAAACCCAAGCTTTCAGGACATGAAAGCAAGATGAAAGAGAATCTTATGATTTTCCTTCTTATGACAACTTACAGAAAGGAGAATGTGACTATTTCTGGAAGGCTAAGGATCAATAACCAATGGGTACCCCAAACCAAATTCCTAAGGGTCACTATTCAAAGGACTAATTCCAACTGGAAATATACTGGATTGAAATAAGCTGTGTTCACTGATGCACCATTTGGCAGGCAGTGTCCATTGCTTTGTATGTTTCATGTTCTCTTGTAGATGTTATTACACTTTGATGCAGGGCAGACAGAGGAATCTGATGGGATTTTATCAGTGTGCCAGCACACCCAGCAAAATGTCTATTGTGTTATATGATCCCTGATGTACTGACTGTGAACTATATATGCTGCCTATCGATGAATAACATTGTTATCAAATGTGCAGATGGGTTTCTGTTTGTTTTCCCATGGACTCCTCTGGACTCATCATAAAGCTATAGCCCTTAAAGAATTTCTTTTCCTAATTACTAATTTCCTCATCTCATATGTGACTCACTAAACACAAAATTGTACTATCACACAACCTATTACTTTGTACTAGGTTGTACAAAATTGTACAAAATTGTACTATCACACAACCTATCATAGAAACAAACCTATTACTTTGCTTTGAGGCAGAATAGCTTGTAAACCATTCCACATTAATGAATATTCTTAGACTTAGGATCTTTTGAGAAAAGCTGTTTGACACTTCTCTTCACAAACTTATTGTATTTTTAGTATCTGCTTCATGTGATAAAAGACATGCTGAATTTAATTCTGATGAAATCTGTAGGTGTGGTAAGAGGTTGATTTTGATCTAGTCTTGTTACAAATTTATAGATATTTTGTTATTGGGGTACTTTTTACCTCTTAGTTACATCAAGAAATGCTTACTTCTAATTATTGCAAATTATTATAAGTATTGTAATTGTTATGTTATAGAAATAAACTTTTATTTAAATCCCAAAATGTTGAAACTAATTTAAATGTAAGATAAAATAGCAATGAGTGTTTTTTATTCTTATTTGGCAAATTTTAGAAAGATTGATAACACACAGGGTTGGCAGGAAGTGCAAGCAAATTGGTACTGTTGGTGTGGAACAATAAATTCACTTTTTTGCTAGAGGGGATTTGGTAATATGTTTTGTTTTTTAAGATTTTGTTAGGGAATTGGGGAGGGGAACAGTTTTTCTAGGACCCATCAGCTCCAAGTCAAGTTGTTGTCCTTCAATCTTAGTTGTGGAGGGTGCAAGCTCAGCTCCAAGTCCAGTCGCCGCTTTTAACCTAGTTGCAGGCGGGTTGTAGTCCACCATCACATGTGGGAGTCTAACAGGTAACTTTGTTGCACACTGAGCCACCTGGCCACCCAAGGGCAGCTGGCAGCTGCTCAGCTCAAGGTGCAGTGTTCAATCTTAGTTGTGGGGGAAGGGAGAGTGGTGGGAGGGTGCAGCCCACCATCCCATGCAGGAGTCGAATCAGCAACCTTGTTAAGAGCACGCACTCTCACTAGCTTAGTGGCAGCTCAGCTCAGGCGCAGCTCACTGGCCCATGTGGGAATTGAACCAGCAACCCTGTTGCTCAGAGCTCGCACTCTTGAGCAATCTCTCAACCAACTGAGCCACTCGGCCGGCTCCGGTAATGTGTTTTTAAAGTATCAGTCATTTTACCCAGAAATATCAAATTCCAATTCTAGGAATTTATTTTAAAAAACTAAACAGGGAAGTATACAAAGGAAAAATATTTCTGTTGGTTGCTTAAATGGAAAAAAAAAAGCACCTAGAAACCACTAGATACTTTAGAGAATTAGTGTCCTAATTATTGTATAAACAGTGGAATACTAATGGATGAAGTAGACCCATGTAATGATATGCAAAAATATCCATATAAAACATTTAAAAAATAAAGACCAGTAATAGAACAGTAGGATTCCATTTTTGTAAAACAGGCACGTATACATGTTAAAAACAATTTGAAATCTAGTTACCAAGCAGTTTAACAATCGTCATATTGGGAGTAAGGGGTCATAAAGAACTTTTATCTTACTCGGTGCTTACATATTACATAATATTTTACAATAGGCATGTATACTTTTATATTAAATAAAGATATTTCCATTTCTCTATCATAAGTGCAATTTTCAGGCTGTGGGGCAGGTCTGATCTAACACCAGCACCTGACACTCGCTGTCCCTCAGAGGCTCATACAGTAGACCCTGGTGCTAATTATCCGGGTGGGTCAGCAAGCTGTTGACATGCTCCTCTGTTTCCATATTGGATTCACCACTTCAATTAGAAGCACAGAGCTTTGATTATTAACTTATTATTTCATAAGACTCAAGCACTATTCCAAGACCCATGTTAGGTCCAGCCCCAAGCCAGGAGGCTCACGGCCTTCCATTGTTCTGAAAAACTCCTATCAATAGTCATTCTCCACAGTTGCTTTGCACTGTACATAAATACAAGGCATTGCCACATGTGCCCTTGGCATTTCTTTACTTCCCAGGAATAACAATAATATTGGGTTGTTGGAAAATTCATGAAATATTTTGTCTATGTTTTTCAAGGGTCATTTATTTATGTAAAGAACAGAGATCAATCAATGATATATTGCCCGTTTTGTTCGAGAACCTTCTGCCATCTTCCAGTGAGCTTAATTCCTCGTTCATAGAAGGACCTGTCTTTATTTGCGAAAAACTGAACAAGGTGCTGATTTACAGCCTCATCTGAATTGAACATTATATCACTCAAGGAGTTTTGAAGAGAGCGAAACAAGTGGAAGTCTGATGGTCCGAGGTCAGGCGAGTATGTTGGGTGTGGCAACACATCCCATCCAAGCTCCAATAATTTTTGACAGGTGATCAGACTTGTGTGTGGTCTCCCATTGTCGTGATGGAACACAATTCCTTTACAATTAACAAGCTCTGGATGTTTCTAAATGATGAATTAGTTCAAACTGTCCAGTTGCCGACAGTACACAGTCGAATTGATTGTTTGGTTCCTTGGTAGGTGCTCAAAAAACATGACACCTTTAAAATCCCACCATACTAAGAAAGAGCATAACCTTCCTCTGATGAATGTCTGCTTTCGATGTCGTTTGAGGCAAATCATCACATTGGGACCAAGACCGTTTGCGCACCACATTGTTGTAATCAATCTACTTCTCATCACCAATTATCAGTCGCTTCAAAAAAGGATCGTTTTCCTCACCTTTAATGAGCATATTTTGCAGATATTTATACGCTCCGTCAAATGAACTCCTTTGAACTCTTGCAGA